CAAGGACTACATAAGATTACTTAAACATAATTATGGAAGAGATTGGTATAAATTGTATTTTCTTCCATTTACCATGATATTCAACTCAAAATATAGAATTTTAGATTTTATTTTTATTTTGTAAGAAGGGAAAGGTGAGAAAAATTAGTTCTCTGGTTCATTCTCCCCCCTTCCCCTATTATCTGACATACAGGCTTGATAGAAGCACGAGTCTACATGCTGAACCTAAGTTTTCTAAAGATATGCATAATATATAGGCCATGTTTGAGCCACATTTTTTTCAAAAAAATACATTCTTAAACAGTGATTTGACATCATTTTAACAACACATTCTTCAATAAAATAATATTACACGCAAATTCAAAACTTTTCTTTATTTTTTAACCACGCATTTCCCATCAATACACTATTTAAAAACGCATTCTAAGAAAAATAATGTGGTTCAAACAAGGGCATAGCTAATATAAAGATATGCATAATATATAGCTAACAAGCTAGAGTATCCGAGAGTCTGATTGATAGCATCAAGTATCAAGATAGGATATCAAGCATCTTGAGTTGTGACCTTACAACTTTGTGGGTGATAGATTTCAAGTTATCTAACACCAAATACTTAAATCATTATCTATTGAACCCCTAAGAATGTGTGCAATATTCTTGCTGGCAGGACATATGTTTTTAGTTCTTATAGCTATCATATTCCTTATTTCCAAACCAAAAGGGTCAAGGCAGTAATGCAAGCCTTACAGTACTGTTCCACATTTCAAATATTGAGTGACTCATTTTACAATTACGAGTTCTCTCCTATTTCTACTATTGTTTTGTTCTGTTGATTTTAGAATACAATGTGCTGTTCCTTCTTTTGCCCTTTTGGCATCAGCCTACTTTTTCATCTATGTAGGCTTGGTTCAGAGAACTACCGAGAGGGGTGCTGGATTCTCTATCGCCTGAGGAGGTAATGCAGTGCCAGTCAGAAGAGGATTGTGATGCACTTGTAAGGCTTCTACCTTCAACAGAGGCTGCACTGTTGGATTGGGCCATCAACCTAATGGTCGATGTTGTCCAACAGGAACATCTAAACAAGATGAATGCACGCAACATTGCAATGGTATTTGCTCCGAACATGACACAGGTATTTTACAGTCAATTTGTGTTAAGACACATTTTCTTCGTACTGACATTGCGTGTTATACATTAAGGGCCTTCTGTCTTCTTAATATTCATTCATGTTCCGTTTACAGATGGCAGATCCATTGACGGCATTGATGTATGCAGTACAAGTGATGAACTTCCTCAAGACTCTTGTAGAGAAGACATTAAGAGACAGAGAAGATTCCCTTATAGATCCAGCGCCTACCTCCCGCATGGAACATTCTGATGATAATGGCCATCAGGATTCTTCGCAACTACATCTGGATAATCCCGTTGAATCAAATGAAGATAGAGAAGAGACCTACATTGCAGAGGATCCCAATTCAGATGGTGCTTCTGATTCCAACCTAGTGGATAACCTCACCGACGAGGAGCATCTCACTTATTCAACGTCTACTGAAGAATCTGATGTAAGTGTATCACCTGCTCAAGTTTACGGTATCAGCAGTGGAGGAGAAGCCAAAGTAATGAATGCTCTTCAGACTCAGCTTGATGTAAG